AGGCCACTGAGATATCTCCCCAGCCCTGAATTTTTGAACCTATTCAAATAATTACATAGCTAGAGACTCAGTAAAAATACCTATTTCTGAATTCTGAGGAATAAGTGGGAACAAGACATTGAAAAGTGTTTCATTTCAGCTTGCGTAAGCATAGCTTGCGAAGTTGAGCATTATCAATAGATCAAGAAGAAAGCAAATAATTAAAAATGAAAGAAGTAAGAACTTCCTCATGAGCATCAGAAAACCACATTAAAAACAATGCAACAGTATAGCAGAACAAATAAGCATTATTATATTTCCCTTATTAGCCTATTAGGCTTATGTGATTTGTTCTTGACTCACAAATCAGCAGTGAACTTCCGTGGCCAGTTCCTTCTGGACTAAAAGCTGTTTAGCACCCTGATCCTATGCTTTAGTCTATAGGTGTCTATCTGTGGTCAGCCAAGGCTGAGAAGCCTGGCTCCACAAGTCTATTCCAGTTATGAGTATATACAATCACTCCTACTAAGGCATTAATACTATCTCTCTTAGTTGAAGAATCTAGTTTATACAGATTCTTCAGGCAAGCACAGAAGAAAGGCAAGAACTATCTGTTGTAATTTTTGAAATTTCTATTAGTTTATACACTGGAATACAGTAGAATAAATTCCTCTGTTGGCTTACAGATTTTGGCAGTATCTCCTTAAAAGTTAAGAATATACTGTGAATATAGGGGTAACGACAGATCTACTTTATAAAGGAACATAGGGCAAATGTTGGTGAGGATGTGAGGAAAAAAGAACTCTCATACACCACTCATAGGAATGTAAATTAGGATATCTACCATGGAAAACAATATGGATGTTTCTCAGAAAATTTAAATTAGAATTACCATATGATCTAGCCATGTCTCCTGGGTATACAGCCTAAGAAAATGAAGCTATCACACAAAATAAATAACTATTATTATTAATTTTTAAAAATGTATTTGGTACAGGGTCTCACTACACAGCTCAGATCCGTACCGATCCTCCTTCTTTCAGCCTCCCCTGCACTGGGATTGCAGGCCTGCACCACCACACCCGTTCTTGGTGCCTGGCCGAGGGTGGGGCTGTTGTGGCGTGTGGTGCTGGGAATCAAACCTTGGTCCTTGTGCTTGCCTAAGCAAGTGCTCAGTCCACTGAGCTATCTTGCTGGTCCCCTGTGTATTATTTTTGTGGCATTATTCTCACTAGTTGAATTGTGGAGTCAACCTATGTGCCTGTCAACAGAGAGATGAATGAAGAAAATGTGATGTTACACATGGTAGAGTATTATTCAGCCACGAAGAAGAATGAAATAACATCATTTGCAGGAAAATAGATGGAAGTTGAGGTCATCATGTTAAAGAGAAATAAGTTTGACATAGAAAGAGAAGTATCACACACCTTCTTCCCTAATTGGGGCCAGAAAGCAAAGACTGCTAGGGAAGGGAGAGTAAAAGGGACTCTAGGGAGAGGATTATAGAGGGGGCAGAACAGGTTATTAGGGAGGGTGGATATGATTAAAACATAGACTCTCTGCATATATGGAAATGTCACAGTCAAACCCATTAAGTTATACAGTTAATATGCATTAATAATTGTCATGTTCAGTCTTTATTATTTGTAGATTAAGTATATATTGCAATTCTTATATTATTATTCTAATTAAGAAATATGGAACATATGTAAACAGTACTAGCATTCCTCTTGCTATGAGTAACACATAGTGTGTTATGGGTTATAAGGTGCAGACTAAACTATTAAACCTTTAGTATATGAGCCATCAAGGAATCACCAAAGATGATTTGGCATGTGAAAAACACAGTAAAAATTACATTTTTCTAAATTCTGGAACTGATCTTGGTAAGGTAGCATTAAAAATAATTTTCAGAAAAGAATTATCATTAGCACAAGGCAGATGCCTGGGAATAATGAACGGTTGTAATGTGGCTAGTTATTAAACTGGAGTGATGATACCCTATATCTAGGTAAACATAACCGAAGATATAATTATAAGAAACTTCATATATTTTGAAAACAAGTACTTTTGCTATTGTTTTGTTTGTTTTTAAATAGTCAAGTACATGACAAAGTCAGAACAAAGCCCAAAAAATTGTTCTGGTTTGAACAGATGACTCAGAAACTGAAAATCGTTTACTATTTTTTTGTCAAAAGCTACATGAAATATTCTGCAACTAGTTTGCCATTTCAAATGGAGAAAGTAAAATAAAATTAATACTCCTACATTGATGTAAAGTCTGACAGTAAAGAATTTCCAACCTTTAAAAAATCCTATGAATAAGCCCATTAAAACAAAACCAGGGGCCGGGGAGATAGCTCAGTAGAATAAGCTCTTGCCTGGCAAGTGCAGGGTCCTGAGTTCAATCCCTGGTACCCCCAAAACAAGCAAATAAACTAACAAACAACAACAAAAAACCCACAGCCAATTTAGTACAAATTTTAACATATTTCATTGTTTTTTCCCCCCAGACTTACTATTTGCATGCATGATAAAGCAAAGAATAGTTTTCTTTTCCTTAGACTTCTACAACTTGATCATTAAGGATTTGTCTTTCACTAATCTTTCATATTCTGGCACATTTATTTCTTGATGCACTTATTTTTTTCTTTGATAAATTAAACCATACTTGTAATCATACATACACATTTATGTTTCTTTGCTATTTCAATTCTTGGTGTAGTGTCAAAGAGCCATATAAATTGCAATTCGAAACCAGTGTACTTTCCTTGTATTTCCAGATAGGGATAATAGGCAAGTAGGGATGATAGGCAAGTAGCTGGTGGTTTGAAATAAGAAAATATTTAGTTGACAGCAAATGTCAAAAACAGTCATTATAAATCTTTCTTTTCTTCTTTTTTGGTTTTTACTTATTTATTTATTTATTTTTGGGACAGAGTCTGCTTTGCAGTTCCGGTCGGCCTTGTGCCTCCCCCACCTTTAAATCTTTTTGAGACAGGGTCTCATTATACAGTTTAGGCTGACCTTGAGCTCACTTTGTGGCACAGCCTGGTCTCCCACTCTCAATCCTCTTGCCTCAGCCTCCTGAGTGCTGGGATTACAGGCACACGGTACCATGCCTGGTTCTTTTTTGTTGTTGTTTTTGGAGACAGGGTTTCACTATACAATTCAGGCTGTGATCATCCTGCCTCAGCCTCTCCAGTGCTAGGATTACAGGCATGAGCCACCATACCGGGCGATAAATCTTTCTTTGGGCACTCACTCCTTTGACATTTCTTAAAGTGGGAAAATGGAACATACGTTAATATAACCCAAGGTTTTACCCATCTAAAACATAAAAATAAGAGGCAAAAGTGTGTGCATAATATGTACAGTGGACAATGATTTTGTATTCTAATTTTCTGAGAAGCAAATAAGCAAGATTATATTAGTTTGCAAAACCATGAAGAACATAAAACAAGATAATGAGAGATAATAAGTGATGGAAAGTGTTTTATCATGGAAAGCGCAGTTAAACTGAATTTCCTTGGAGGTAAGCAGGATGCATAATTATCTCTTTGTACTAGAACATGTAGCAAATATTCAATGGATAAAATTGAATGAAGAAAATACATGAATAAAATCGTTATTCACGATAATTGGATCAGACAGGAGGGCTAATTGTCATGTTACTGTTTTACGCGGGAGGAAACTTATGTTAAGGCTACATTATTCTCTTCAACTTAATAAATGTGCTGCATAAGTGAAAAAAAGCATTATGTGGATATGAATCAAAATCAGTCCAGCCAAGGCAGCAGACAGGGCTCCTCACTTCCCTTTAGGGCATTCTGACTTTCTTTTTGGCTTGGTGTTTGGGTCTCAGAGCAGAGTCAGTATTAAAGAGATACTGATGCCCTGCCAAATGGGAAAGGTAGTGTAAGCATCACTGACACTGGCTCCAGTCCAGAGTCTTGATTGTTTCAGAGGGAAGTCAACATTGACGCAGGGTACATTCAGTTAGCAGTGGTCCACCCAGAGGGTCCCCTGACTCCCCTTCCACTAAGCAGGGAGCAGTCTGCATTAAATCAAGATTGTCCTCCTTCAACTTACTCTTTCCTGTTAAATGAAAGCTTCATACTAAACCCCTCAAAATCGTGTTGTACTTAGTTTTAAAACCCTACATTTTTCTCTTTGGAGTAAGAACATGCTGTTGGGTGGTAACCCCTAGAATCTCTGTCAGGTTGCTTCTCATGTCAGGTCCCTTCATCCTCACTGCCGTCCTTAAAAACAAAACAAAACAAAACAAAACAGAACAAAACAAAACAAAACAAAACTGATGCCTAGTGATTTTTTGATGTCCTTTCCGCTGACCTCATCCCAAAGCTGGAGGAAACGGTAAACTCAGTTCACGGCTTACTGAATCTCCTGGGTGTAGGAAGATCCTGGAACACAATTAGGCTCCAGGATTTCTCAGGGTCCCACTGGTAGTTCAGACAGGTGCTGCTGGTTTTCAGAAGAGTAAGACTGGAGGAAACTCATCGCTGAATTCAGAAGTGTGAGTGCCAAGACAAGATGGGAGCGCTTCCTCATCTGAGGGTTCCCTGGGGAGGGAGCAGGCTGCAGAGCGGGCGCTGTGCTGCGTGGAACCTGGGCTACCAAAAAGGAGGGAATGGAAGCCCTTTAGATATTGAATCCTAATGGGCTTTTGATCGCTGTTGTCACAAAATAAACACGCTTACAGGCAGACAACAACCAGTCGCACACAGGTTCTCGAAGTCAATCCTCAAGTGAGGCTGGGAGAGGGCGTCGTTGTCCTCGCCGGTGGAGGGGAAGAACAGAGGCTGAGCGTTCTAAGGATCCTATATTCAGTCCACTGAAAAGCAGGAGGTCTGAGTCTTCTATCCAAGTCCTCTCCTTAGACTTTCTGGGGTCTGGACTGGAGCTGAAAAGGGTCGTCGTAGGTCAACACTGGTTTACAGTCCAGAGCGCCGAGACCCCCAGGAACGAAGTTGTCTCTTTAAGGCCACAGGGGGGAGTGCGCGCGGAGCTGGAAGGGAGCCCGGGACTCCGCGCTCTCTTTTTCCTCAAAGTTCCTTTCTTCTCTACAGCTGGCCGGGAGGTCTCGGAGGGGCTGGAAGGTTTGCGCGGCCGGGAGCCGGGGACACAGGCTTCCGGGCCCCAGCAGACGCGCAGCCCCGGCCCGTGGAGCAACGCGCGGGGTGCCGGTCCCCTCGTTCAGCCGGCTCCTGCGCGCCCAGGAGCTCGGGGGAGCCCGGGGGGCCCGGCACGTTCTAGGCGCCCGCTGGGGCACATTCCCAGGCCGGGGGCCGTTTCCGGCGGCGGATCCTGGACCCGCCGGTGGAGCGGGTGAAGCGCCGCCAACTTTCCGCGACCCACCTCGGACCCAGTGCGACGGCGGGCTCAAGGGCTGTACCGCGGCTCTGGGGTGAGTGAGGCCACCGGTGTGGCGGTGGGGCTCCGACTGCGCTCCTGCTGCCCCTAGCCCGCGACGCTCCCGGAGCCCCGCTTTATGCCCTCACCTCCCTCGCCTCCTTCGCTTCCCCTTCACTGCAGGCGCATTTCTTCCCCAGCCCCGCTTCCCTTTTCTTTGTCTCTCGGCCCCCAAATTCCTGTCACCCTTTGTGCACTGGATCCTGGGCCTTTGCGGAGACCCGGGCTTGGTGGGTGCGTCTCAGCCCCACTGTCCGACGGGTTTCGCCCGGCTATCCCCACTCCGCCCTCTGTTCGGCGTTGTCTTTGGCTCTCCGGGCCCGGTCGGGGCTCGGCTCTGGGGCCTGAGCACACGCTGGGTTTGGGTCTTCGCTGCCTCCAGAACCGCGGGATCCTTTTCTCAGAGTCCCGCTTGGAAGGCGCGGGAATTTGGAGTCAAGACTGTTGTCCTGGTTCTGTGCCCAGCTGCTTCACCATCGACTTGCTAAGCCTTTATGCCTACATCTGTGAAGCGCGGAAAACATTCTTTGTGGACGGAAAGCAAAGAAGAAAGGATGTCTGAAAAGTGGAGAGGGACTTTTTTTCCCCAAGCTCCTTCACCTCGGGGTACCAGCTGCTTTAGTTAGAACAAATCTAATTGCTGGTTCTTTTTCACTCCTCCTCTCCTCCGGATTTCTGGAGTGTAGGGGTGCCTATCTCCTGTATTCTCATTTCTGGGGGCATCCTAAGCACTTGGCACACTGGGCTTGGCAAATACAAAGTGCTCAGTAAGTACTGACAGAATGAAAGGTTGAAAAGGTGAAACCATAAAACTCCGTGGAAATGTCAAGAGTAGTTATTCTGATGGAGTGACCAGGATGGACTCCTGTTCATGCAGTTCCAGCGGTTTCTTCCTGATCAGCACAAAGCTTGCTGGCACCTGGAGCTAATGGTTCCGGATTGCAGACAGTGAATGCCAGACTCCTCAAAGCTCCAGGCTGCAGCCTGGGAAGCTGCTCAGTCATTCCTCAACCATCTGCTGGGCTCTGTGGTGCCACTGCATTGAATAAATAGTCCAGAGGGACTGTTAGTACTGGTTGGGGCTGAGGTGGGGGGAGGGGTGCTGGGAAGAACAGTTCTCTAGGGGTCTCTGAGGAGATCCTGAGTTATGGTGAAAGAAGTGTTTCCATTCTCTATACCCCATCTTCTCATCTGTGAAGTAAGGAAGTAGAGTGGACATTTGTGGGTAAGGATATCCTTCCCTTGGTGTTGTGCAGTCACCCACCAACTGTCTGAACTCATAGGAGATTGCCCAGCTGAGCCTGAGGACAGCATGTACCTCTGCACTGAGGGCCCAAATAGCCAAGAAGTGTTTTTCCATTCCAGTGGAGACCTTCTGTCTCCACACACCCTGGGGTTGCAAATTATGGTGGGTGACTAGGTACTGACCTCTTGGGGATGTGGAATCCACTGCAGGAAAGGTCTGGGAATTCCCCTTTCGTGTAGTCAGAGAACCACAGAGCTGTGGTGAGGTGTCAGAGACACAAAGCCAATAAGAGACTCTGGGGACTGTGGTTGAGTCAGATACTGGGCCCAAGGGTGACAGAAAAAGAGGTTAAGGGGTCAGTCACAGCCTCAGCTGCTTACCAGCTGTCTTCTGATCCTCTATAAATGTTTTTCTGCCTCTTCTCTATGGATTGAAACTTACTAATGAAGGAAATAGCTCCAAGGAAAGGGGATTTTTGTTTTGGTTGATATTACACAGCCACTATAGGCAGTGCAAAGATAGATCCAAACATTTCTACCCACAGCCCTCTACCCAGACTGACCAGGTATGCTGAATAATGTAATAAGGATCCCACTGAACACCACTTGAGTGTGTACTGTGGGCCATTTTATGTGTATTCATTAATTAAATCTTGTTTGAGAGGGAATATTGTTCTCTCCACTTAAAACTGAGCTTCAAAAAGAGAAAGTGACACCTATGATCACAGGAAGTGGCAGAGTGAGGTATAGGTATAATCACCCAGGTAGGCTGACACAGAAGTCTGAATGTCTTTGGAATTTGGGGAAACCAGGTTTCAGATCTTGCTTTTTTAACTGACTGGCAGGATGATCTGGGGAAAGTCAGGTGAGATCTTGAAAGCCAGTATACTAGTGGGTTACTAGGAACTGTAGGCCTCTGATGGCTCAGACAGAAGGTGGTTCTCACTGAATGGAGTTGTAAAAGCTAAGTGCTGAGCAGGTCAGAGTTAAGAGCTGGATGGCATATTAAACAATAGCAAGCCAGATTCCAATTGTGTACTTTAATTACTTGATTGTATAAAGAAGCTGGGTGTGGTGGCTCATGCTTGCAATCCCAGCTGCTCAGGAGGCTGAGCCCAGAAGTGTCACAACTTCAAGGCCAGGCTGCACAACTTAGTGAGATCCTGCCTCAGGGTCTGATCAATGATGCAGTTCTTGCTAGCATGTGTAAGGCCCTGGGTTCAATCCCCAGTATAGAACATATTTGCTTGGTTGTATATACATGTAGATTTCTAATTTTGGGGCTGATTTGCTAATTGGGCATATGACTTGCTAAGGACTTATTACATAGATTTAGGGAGAATGAAGGAGGGAGGAGAGACAGAGAAAATGAAACTGATTTTCCCAAATCTTTCATTTAATGATGACAAATATCAGGGAAGCATGTCACTAGTCCTGATTCTTGCCCCAGGCAGACATCTGGCATCCACAAGGCTGGGGAATCCTTGACTTGGTGCTCTAAGCAGTGTCTATCAGTTGATCCTGGAGCCTTCTTCTGTAGACTTGCTACTTCATTCCTCTGGCTATAGTCAGGGAAGTGGTGGAGTTACAGCAGGAAACCTTTCTGCTTGGTGCCTGTAGGTGGTATCTTAGAAAATACCTTAGGGGCTTTTTGAAGATCACTTTTTCTTTTACTCTTTTCTGTTCTTTCTTTGATGGTCTTCAACTTCTGTCCACTCTGTAACTGGGGGTATGGCTAGGGGTGGAGGCACATGTCACAAGAGTGGGTAATCTTTCAGAGTGAGCCAGACCCTTGGAAATCAACCCATCCATTCCTTCCAAATGACTGACAGCAAAACAGAGGTCCATTAGAAAGAGTGATTTACTCAGGGTCACACTGTGTGATTGTTTTCTAATGTAGAGGTAACAATTTACTATTGTGTAAATGTAGCAGTTTAAACCTTTCTAGCTCTGTAGTTTAGAGTCCACAAAAATAAACGAGTATCACATGAATAAAATCAAGATATCATCAGGTTGCTTTTCTTTTGGGAGGAACTAAAGAACAACCACTTTCCCTCTTCTCTTAACTGCTGGCAGAGTTTACTTCCTATGGTTGCAGGCCCAAGGCCACCACCTTCTTGCTGGCTATAAACCCAGGGCCATTCTCTGCCTCTGAAGGCTGCTGCCTTCCATGGCTCTTAGCGCCCATGCTCTGTCTTCAAACCAACAGCAGGAATCAGCCTGTCTCATGTCTCATTTTTCTGATCCCTCTTCTGCCTTTCTCTTTCTTCCCTTTTAGGAGTTTAGATGATGAGGTTGGGCCCTCATAATCCAGGGTAATCTCTGGCCTCAATGTCCTAAATTTAATCCCATCTACAATGTCCCTTTTGCCTGTGTTCTTAGGGCTCTGATTTCTGAACCATGCTTTGTTTCTGTATACTCATGGCCGGGGAGGTGGGGGACCTAGGAGATGGGCATCTTTGGCAAGGTGGTGGTGGTAGTGGTGTTGGGGGGATGTTTCTTCCTATCTTTAGCATGAGACTCTTTTCTTTTTCTTTTTTTAATGTTGGTATAGGGTCTTGTTACACAGTTCCAAACTCATAATGATCATCCGGTCTCAGCCTCCCCAGCGCTGGGATTACAGGCGTGTACCATTATGCCCCATTTCTGGGCTCACATGGCATGTGATACTGGGGATCGAACCCTGGTCTTTGTGCTTGCCAGGCAAGTGCTTAGACCACTGATCGATCTCCCCAGCTGAGACTCTCTTTTTGAGAGTGACTGCCTTAGGGCATGGCACTAGCACTGTGGGATTCCTGAGGCTCTGTTTCTGAGCCTTCTGCAGTCCTTTTCCTGGAGAGTCTCCTTTGCCCCCCCAACACACAGCAGCCCTTAGTCATTGCAAATAACAGTGATAGATGGTAGTGTCTTAAGCAGGATGCTGTGGATTTGGCCTGGGTGTTTTCTTCTGCTGGCTCTCTTTTGGTGCTTTTCCATTTTTTTCTAGCCACAGAAGAGCAGATAGAAGGGCAGGCAGGGAATATGTCTTTAACCCAGTAGTAGTTCTGGAGGAAGAAAGTATCTGTTGGGGTGAAATGAAAACAGTGTTTCCCAGGGACCTTGGGTCATCAGAGAAAGGGCTCTGGTTGATTCATTTCAGCATCCATTTATTGTCTGGCTCCTGTCTTTGGAACAAATGTTCCTGGTGGAATGAGTATATGGTGACCAGGGAAAGTCTGAGGCTGAGGGTTGCACAATGGGAGGAGAGCTATTTCCAAGAATAAATGTGAGACTGGGATGTCCTTATCCTGGAATCAGCTTGCAAAACTTGTCCCCTCTTTTGTCTTTCTTCCTACCCTCTTCTAAGAACAAAGGAATGTTCACAACTTGGGATACCACTCCCCTGACCACTGGCTTCTGTATACAGGGAATCAAAATTAAAATTGGGGCTCTTACCCAAGCAATTCAACAAAAGAACATCCTAGAGGACTTGATTATGGAAGGCCAGTCCTCTGCCTGATATGTACAGGATAGGAGGCTGAAAAGGAGGAGACTCTTCTTCTAGTTCTTCTTGAATACAGAGAGAGCCCAGAAAATGATGAAATCAGAGATTGTCATTTTGTTTTAGAAATATGATTCTCAGTTTTGCAGTCGTTGAGGTTCCTGGGGGGATAGGATGCTTTCTGGATCTCTTCTGCTAATTAAGTTCCTTGAGTTAAGTTCTGACCTGTTCAGTCTCACGTTCATTGTTCCTCGTGTCTCATATTTATT